ATGAAATAGATCTATACATACAGGTTTATTCATTTCTCTGATTTTCTATAGAACTGTGTTGTTGTTTTTTCATGTATTTTTTTCAGCTATTATAGGAAACAAACCTACTTCTAGGTTTTTTACTTCAAAGAAAATTTACAGCAATTTGACTGGGGTCAGGGAATAAGAATCCTGCACACCCCCACCCTCCCACTGGGGAAGCCCGCAACATGTGCCCTGAACGGGAATCAAACTGTGACCTCCTGGTTCATAGGTCAAAGTTCAACCACTGAGCCAAGACAGCTGGACCAGAAGGCTTTTAAAAATGCATATAACACCTGTGGTCAAAGATAATTTATGCAATTTATAGTAGGCAGAATAATGGCCACTCAAAGATATCTCAGCCCCCACCCCCATCTCTGGAATCTGTAAATATGTTAGGTACATGGCAAGGGGGAAATTAAAGTTGCTAATCAACTGACCTTAAAATAGTGAGATGATTCTGGATTATCCAGGTGAGTTCAATGTAATCACAAGGGTCCTTAAAAGTAAGAGTTCAAAATGGTAGGATCTGAGAAGGACTCAAGTCCTAGCTGGTTTGGCTCAATGGATAGAGCACAGCCTTCGGACTAAAGGGTCCTGGGTTTGATTCTGGTCAAGGGCACATGCCTGGGTTGGGGGCTCAATCCCCAGTAGGGGGCGTGCAGGAGGCAACCAATCAATGATTCTCTCTCATCATTGATGTTTCCATCTCTCTCTCCCTCTCCCTTCCTCTCTGAAATCAATAAAAATATATTTAAAAAAAACTCAACCCACTATAACTTGACTTGAAGATGGAGGAAGGGGGCGATGAGCCAAGACGTGGCCTCTAGAAGCTGCAAAAGTCACAGAAATAGATTCACCCCTAGGACTTCTAGAAGGAAACACAACTCTGCCAACACCTTGATTTTAGCCAGTGAGATTTGTGTTGGCAATCTAACCTGAAGAGCTCTAAAAGAATGAATTTTTGCTGTTTCAAGCCACTAAATGTATGGGCTACTAATACAAATGCCTATCCTCTTAAGGTCCCAGGAGCAGAGTATGGAGATCAGGTTGACTGTTATATGTTTTTGTAATGTGTGGGAAAAGTCCACCGCAGGATCTGTAAAAACTCCTTATTGGGTATTATTTCAGCCCTAGGAAACCCGTTCTTTATCATCCCCCTCCAAGTAAAGGATCTGTAAGAACCCCAATGAACAGGATCCCTTCTGGAACACTTGCTGAGAGGGAATGAGATTCGGCTGGAAGTGCTTATATTAGGGCACATAAGAAAATGTTCAAAGGATCTAGCTGCACTCCTTACTATCTGAAACATCCAAGTCTGTTGAAGAGAAGGTTTAACACCACCAGATTCTCTAACAAAAATACCAGGGGAATTACAGAGAAAGTTCTTCCTCAGATGGAATCTATTGTTTTATCACCAAGCTATCACAGAGCACTTTGTTTAAATAGATTGTCCCATGCCTAATGTAGTGGTTCTGACTGAGTCCTGCTCATTAACTGGGAATAATTAAAAATATGCTCACTCAGGCCCAAACTTGGAACAATTAAAACAGAATTTCTGAGAGTGGGACCCACGCCCCGGTTTTTTTTGTTTTGTTTTGTTTTTGTTTTTTTGAAGCTCCCTAGACAGTTCCAATGCATAGTTAAGGTTGAGAACTCCTGACAAAATGGTTGTGTATGTCAGAGACAATTGATTTTAAAATAAACAAGTTCTCATGAAGGAATAAGGCAGTGCACAATATTACAGATCCAAATGTATACTAATAAGTAGACTTGTTCTTGCCCACTTATAAGATCCTTGAGATAATCCCCATGTAGGAACTAATACACTACCATAAAAGGATTTATGATTTATTTATAAAAGGATCACAGAAAGCACATATAATTGATTAACAGACTGTGACTATTGTCTCTCATTCTCAGAGTCTATGTGCCTCTTTCCAAAATTAGGCTATACATCTGCAGTGAGAGAAGAAAATATATGTCTGTAAAATCCCTTGTGAAAAATTCCATTTAGTTTAGAAAAGTTTTTGCTTCTTTTTCAACATTGTTTTCTTAAAAAATAATCTAAGAAACTTGTTCAACAGTTTCCAAGTAAAATAAAATAATATTGTGCTTGGAATTACTACGACTCCGCTAAATCTACCTTGATAAAAGTAATGAAGCTGTCATAAGAAGTTTGACTGCATCATCACCATGGACATAATACCAGCTCTGAAGCCCAGGACTGTATTGTTTGAGAATACTCAATTCTTCCCTGGAAGAAAAAAAAAATAGAATCGACAAAACTCATGTGTTAAGCATGGGTAAGTTAAATATCTGTGAGACATAGTAGACAAAGTTAGTAGGGCATATACTTGGGAACATAGAAAATGCTGAAATGACTAAGAGATGCCTAATAATCTTGAGGCACTAAACATACAAGAGGCACTAATATTCATTAAACATTATATATTCCTTAATATATAATTAAGGAATATAATTAAACTAAATACTCATGGGACATTCAACATTCACAGGCCTTAGTTCTGCCACTCAGTGGTGACAATCATACTGTGTCCCACACGCCCTGCTCAAGAAGTGCAAAACCTGCACTTGCTCAACAGGTTACTTGGCAAGCTACATCTGTGGCCAGATATTCTTGCCCTGAATCTCTCCAATAGAGTCAGTGTGTGTCATTGGCACCTCCCATCCTTGGTCCCTTGCTCAAACCCCAACTCTGGTCCAATTACAATTGCATCAACAGGAAGGCTAATGTGCCAACAAGAGAGACAGGACATATGAACATTGCATAATCACAGGTTTCAATTCGAATCTTTCCATCTCATTTGTACCCTGTCGTGTTTTTTCTTTCTCTTTGCTTCTCATGATGTTTTAGCGTTTCTTTCCATGACTTCTAGGATAGCTCATCTGGTAGTATATATGGAGGGTCTCAATGCATGGAGGTAATTTCTCAAAAAACATGAAGCAGGTAATATCTGGGTATTACTCAGCACTGTATGTTATAAAAAATTATTTTAAAAAAATTTTGATTGTAGAGAGGGAGAGGGAGAGATAAACATCATTCGGTTGCCTCCCACAGGTACCCAACCTGAGCATGTGCCCTGACTGGGAATGGAATTGGCAACCTTCCGGTGCATGGAACTAGCTCAACCAACTGAGCCACACCGGCCAGGGCAATACAAGATTTTAAAAAAATAAAATTCTTTTACCTGATATCCTATAATTTTCAAAGCTTTACACTCAAAAGAATGTCTCTCTTTGAGTGTACATTTTTCCTGGCAACAAGAAACAGAATCCCTAATTTTGGCAGGTTCTAAGATATGTCCTTAGAAGGCCTTTTAATCTTTAGGCTTTCCAAAGAAATTAGATTAACAGTTTTTAGAATATTTATTATAGTGGGTATAGTTTATTTTAATTGCAAGAAGCTGAACATCTTGATCCTGGAAAGGTCACTTGAAAGGCCCTCTGATTACTGTACATACTGGGTGACTAGACCTCATTGTTCCAGGATTAGTAGCAAGAACTTTTGGTGTTTTTTGCCAACTTGTTTAAGTGGCCTAACCTGAGATTCAGAGTTAGGGAAACCTACTGTGTAAACCCCTGTATTTTATGTGAGGCTAGTGACAGAGAAGGGCAAAGGGGGTTCTGAAATAAAGTTACACTGAGAAAAACCCGATTCATGGGTTGGTGGTGGACCTGAATCAGAAAGTGAAGGTGAATGAGTGACCTGAATCTGCGAGGTTATCAGCGAGTGGAAACAGATGAGCTGAAAAAGCGAGTGCTCAAGCCTCTTAAGGCATAAAAACCCTCTTGGGTGAGGGTATCACAAAGGAGATTTCCTTTTCTCAACCCCCGCGCACCCCCCCCAAAACACCCCTCACCCCCAAACCACCTCCTATAATGGGGAAGAAAGGGGCACTTTTTCATCACCTGTGTGTGCACTTGAGAACAGTGACTCCACCTTCCTTTCTACTACTTTTGGAACTGGAATACCTACAACTACTACCTTATGCCTGTCCAACCACTATATTTTAGGAGTGTTGGGGGCAGATAACTTGGCCCTTTAGTTTCACAGGGGATAATGATGTTCTGATTGTGTTGAAGACATTGTTAGTCTTAGCAGATGCATGTAAAAGTATACAGGGTTAAGGTAGCATAATGTCTGCATCCTACTTTCACATGCTTCAGGGGGGGAAAAATACCCCCAAATATAGATGACACAAACATAGAATTTTTGAATCTAGGTGACTGATCCTGTCATACCCACGATGAAAAACCCTTTTCAAGATCATATTCAGTTGTTATGTGCAAGTTGAATTTACACTTGAAAACATAATTCTTATCTATTTTCTCCGAAACACGTAATTTGCAAGCACTGTTTCTGAAAATGCATAATGGCTAAATTCGGGCCATCGGTTTTCTTTCTATGCACGGCAGGCACATCACCGGCGAGGCGACCCCACTGCACTCCCTGCCTGTGACCTACAAGCACAGGCAGCATGGGCTGCTGGTCTCCATTCAAAGGCCCACATGTCGCTCGATCTAAGTGCGAATTAAGCGCTTGTCCACGGCGGCTTTTGCTTTTCAGTTTTGGGACCGACGTTCGCCGGCGCTTCACGCGCAGCTCCGGGGCACGTCGCCGGCGTGGAAGCGGAGCCTCGCGAGGACGCGGGGGCAGGCGCCCGTCTGCGGCCTTCGGAGACGGCTTCTCCGGCGACCGCCTCCACCCTTCCCCGAGGTCAGCAGCGGGGCAAACAGCAAAGTCAGAGTGACGCGCAGGAAGGGCTTCACACCCTGCGCGGCCCCGCAGGGCCCGCCAGCTCGCCCGCTCCCTCTCCGGCGCCCCGCCCCTCCCCTCCTCGCCCCGCCCACTACTCCCTCATTGCCCAATAGGCGCCGACGCGGCTACGACCGTGGCCGGAGGAGGAGCTGTTGGGGCGGCCGGACGCTGAACGGCCGTTCACGTCGACGCGGTGACGTCACGCGTCGACGCACCTGTCGGGCTCTCTGGTTTCCTACTGCTTTTCTTCCCCTTCCGTGGGTCGGGGACGGTCTGTTCCGCAGCCTGCAGCTCCTTTTTCGTAGTCAACATTCGTCCGGGGCCGCGTGTGGAGGAAGGAGGGTGTGGTGGATTGAAAGCCATTCTACTTCGTTCCCGAGTTAGACCATTGGGTGTAATGGTAGTCTCTTAAGAGGGAAGTGATGCTGGAGATTTTTATTTCTAATTGTGGGTAGAGAAACAGGTTGACTCTAGGGCCCAAAGCAAGCGGGTGTAACTTATTGCTGTTCCCGTGTTGGAAGGAGGACCCAGATAAAAGTCCCCCCTGGCAGAATTTCCGTAGCCTCGTCCGTAGAAAAGGCCAGGTGTCTTCAATTGCGGTAGTTTGGGTTGTGTTAAGCTTCACCAGGCGGAGCTCCCAGGGTTTAGCTAGGTTTTCGGTTGGAAACAGATGCAGAATCCTAAGGCAGCGCAGGAAACAGCCACCGGTTTTGCTATGCCTCTGAGCTGCAAGGTGAGTTGCATTCTGTGAGTGAACATTTGTGAGCTGCCCTGTTCACGGGTTTGGGGTCAACTTTGATACCAGGGCTGTCATCTTGGTTTATCTTATGATAGATTTACCTGCATAATGTTAAATCCACCCTAATTAGATGTATACCCTCGAACATTCTGTAAGATTTCACCTGTTTTGTCCAGGAAACGTCGAAGGATTTTTTAATAGAATGGAAGTAGTTTCCAGGAAAAGATTAAATTTGAACTCAGAGAGTGGGATTTACTTTCGCCAAATTTGCCCACATTTAAAGTAAATATCGGTTTATTTTTCTTTTTAGTTTAAGTTTATGTGTATATATAAAACGTTGGCGTTTTGATCTTAAACTTGGACCAGAGTCTTGAAACTCTCAAATTAATTTTGCATATGCTTTATTTGTATAGCATTTTAAAGCCGGAGCACATAGAAGGTAATATACATATACACTATGCGTATTTGTTAGAATTGAATCAACAGTGACCATACCTTTTTTTTTTTTTGGAATTCAAAAGTTTAATTTTGTGAACTATAAACTTTCTATGCAATTCAGTTACTGCACCATCATTGTGGCTTGTGTCATTGATTGTTGAATCTTCCCAGAAAGGCTTTTCTTTTCATCTCCAAAAGTTAATGTAGCAGATTTGTTTCTTGATGAGGTCTTTATGGGAGTAATTTAACTGATGTCAGTTTTATGTGCCTTTGTGAGTAACTAGAAAATACTGTGTAGCTCAAGAGTACATAAAGGAGTTAAAATGCTAATGTATATATTGTTGATTTTCATCGTAAAAGCTGCTGATTGCATAGAATGGCTAGAAAAACAGGTATGATCTACAGAGAATTTCTCAGATTGAGTATGCTGTTATAACCTCTGGTTAATAGAAACAGCCATGGTTGGCAGAATATATGACAAATTTCATTCCACTCCCACATTCTACCTCCCACACTCTTCAAAGACTTTTTTTTTTATGGCATAGCTTACATACAATATCATATTTTTTTCAGTGATTCTACATTTGTATTCCTTATGTGATCCCCACATGTCTATGTCTAATAACTCAAAAGACTTTGGTTCTTTGTTTGAAAAAAGGGTCAAATGATTTTAAGAAGATGAATGTTTAGTACGTAGATCCTTACTTGGAAATTGTTGTAGCATGTGTTTTCAATCATGTTACTCATTAGGAATGTAAATATTTGACCAGGTTTTGCATACATATAGTTCAGAGGAAACAGAGTTGCTGAGGTTATGATCTTGTTAGTAAATTGGCTATTTTCCAGGTCATGTTGGTGGTAGGCTTTCCATTTCCTGTTGTGACATGTTGGTAATAATTTTCAGACCGCTCAGGAAGTGATCTCGGTGGTGGGTAAGATATCAAAGCAGTATTCTGTGGGTTTTGGCCACTATGACTATTTTGAAGAACTTTCAGCTAAGTTTCTAGTCAAACTTATCAGCAGTGATCTAAAACATATAATATGACATAATAAGTGTTAATATTTATTGAGTGAATTCTATGATTCAGGATCTTTCCTAAGTAGTTTTTGTAGATTATCTCAATTCTCACACCAACTCCATGAAGTAGGTACTTTCCAGTGTTCCCATTATACAGATGTGGAAACTGAGGCATATAGAATTTAATTAATTTTCCCAAGGTCTCAGTAAGTGTCAGACTGAGACTGAAGCCTGGCATGATTTCAGAGCTCTTGCTCGAAATGCAGGTAGGACTAATTAAAATGCTAGAAGAAAAGAAAGGATAGGAGGGATGGCATGATAGGTCCATTGCTTTTTCCAATTATAAAAGTAATGTAAAATTATAGAAACTCTGGAAAATCTTTTTTTTTTTCTTTGAAACTCTCATTCTACTATAATAAACCCTGTTTTGGCATTTTTTTCATATGAACATTCACGTGTGTATATGAACATTGCAGCAGTGATTCATTTTGATTCTTAAAGATAAATGTTCCTGCCCTGGCTGGTTTGGCTCGGTGGATAGAGCGTTGGCATGCGGACTGAAGGGTCCCAGGTTTCATTCCGGTCAAGGGCATGTACCTTGGTTGCGGGCACATCCCCAGTAGGGGGTGTGCAGGAGGCAGCTGATCGATGTTTCTCATTGATGTTTCTAACTCTCTATCCCTCTCCCTCTCTGTAAAAAATCTAAATATATTTAAAAAAAAAAAAAGATAAATGTTCCTTAGTTAAGTACAAAATGGAGGATGAACCCATGTGGGGAAACTGCCTATTTGCATTGCTGAAATATGGAGAGATTGAATCTGCAACTTTGACTTGAACAAAGTTAAATAAATATGTTTCTTGACCTTAGGGGAAGTAGTTGATAGTTTGTCTTGTAAAATCATGAAAATTATTTGGTTTTCAAAGTGTAAGCCTTTCCATAGCATCTTTTTGTTGGATTTTTGTTTACCTTTATTTGTTGTTATAGTCTGAGCCTTATATTTGTGTGTGTTTTTCCTTTTAAAATAATCTAGCATTTAACTTTTGAATGACTAAAATTTTTATGAATCTAGGACATTTTCTTCAGAGCTGACAGGTTACTTCCCTTAGCAGTTATCCATGCATACTTTTTTGAAGAAAAATGTATATGGCATAGCAATTTAGACATTCGGCTAACAGAATTAACAGGATAAAATATCAAGTAGTATTACTTTTGGGAGTAGTCAGTTTCTTGTCAGATGTTATATGCGTTGACAATTTGTATCAGAATAAATCCTTGCTACCGTGATGTTCCAGTCTTAGTTTCATGATGTTATATGGGATTGAGGGGTCATCCCTGGGTAAAATACACTTGAGACACTTTGCATAAATTTTGATTATAAAGTTAATTTTTACTACAGTGTTTTTTCTTTTTTTTAAAAAATATATTTTATTGATTTTTTTACAGAGAGGAAGGGAGAGAGATAGAGAGTTAGAAACATCGATGAGAGAGAAACATCAATCAGCTGCCTCCTGCACATCTCTCACTGGGGGATGTGCCCACAACCCAGGTACATGCCCTTGACCGGAATCGAACCTGGGACCCTTCAGTCCGCAGGCCGACGCTCTATCCACTGAGCCAAACCGGTTTCGGCTACAGTGTTTTTTCAAGAACCTTACTTATGCTGTTAGCCGTTATAATTCTAGATGGGGATATGCTTTATCACCCGTGCTTATTTGACCATGAAACCTTTTACTGGACTTGTGTTCTGTGCACATACTCAACTGCAGATATATTGCCTTCTTGGCTCCATAGCTTGACTCATGCCAATAATTTTGATTCAGTTAACCTCTTCTCCCATCTCTGCCCCATAAAATCCTACTTACCTTTTAAGGTCCAACTCACATGTGTCTCTTCCAAAGAAGGCTTCTCATCCTCAGATACAGTGGAATGTGGTCTTTTCTCTGACCTCTTATAACAGTTCTTCTGTCTTCTGTGACATCTATCATGTATTGCCTTTTATTATGTGGATATATAGTAATTTATGGAAAATATTGCATCCCTTTTGAGGACAGTATATAAAGTAATTTATACTGAAGGTTACTGAAAGCCGTAAACCCTATACAAATATGCCATTAATAAAAATTGTTTATATTTTGTACAATTTCTGGTATATTAGTAGCTGTTCTATAAACAGAGAATGAATAAATTATGGTTTAAATTTATTGTCATATTTTTATATTTGACCTGTACTTAGCACATACATTTCTTGAAATACTTACATGAAAATGCTTCTTACATATAGTCAGTTTCTCTTCCCTGCCATCATTGCTCTTGAGACTTTTATTTGCATATTAGCCTTTTTTTATATAGGATGCCCTCACTATCTTATGTTTAGAACTATGGGATGGGGCCAAAACCAGCAGTCGGACATCTCTCTTGCAATCCGGGACCACTGGCTCCTAACCGCTCACCTGCCTGCCTGCCTGATCGCCCCTAACCACTCTGCATGCCGGCCTGCTCGCCCCCAACTGCCTCCCCCCCTGCTGGCCTGATTGCCCCCAACTGCCCTCCCCTGCTGGCCTCATGGCCCCCAACTGCCCTCCCCTGCTGGCCTCATGGCCCCCAACTGCTCTCCCCAGCCGGTCTCCCAGTCTAATTAGCATATTACCCTTTTATTAGTATAGACAGAATTTTGAATACTTTATAGCAGTGATGTTGTAAAAATATTTGTGCTGTAACTGCAAGCCATATATGTAATTTTAAATTTCATAGGAGCCACATTATAAGGTAAAAAGGAAATGATGATATTAATTTTAACAATATATCTTTTTAACCCAGTATATCGAAAATATTACTTCAACATGAAATCAATATAAAATTATTAATGAAATATTTGATTTTTTTCTTATTAAGTCTTATAAATCCAATAGATATTTTGCCTTAGGCCAGTGGTTCTCAACCTTCTTAATGCCGTGACCCTTTAATACTGTTCCTCATGTTGTGGTGACCCCCAATTTCATTGTTACAAATTGAACATAATTAAAGCATAGTGATTAATCACAAAAACAATATGAAATTATATGTGTTTTCCGATGGTCTTAGGCAACCCCTGTGAAAGGGTCGTTCAACCCCCAAAGGGGTCGTGACCCACAGGTTGAGAACTGCTGCCTTAACAGTGTTTCTCAACCTTCTGGCCCTTTAAAACAGTTCCTCATGTTGTGACCCCCAACCATAAAATTATTTTCGTTGCTACTTCATAACTGTAATTTTGCTACTGTTATGAATTGTAATGTAAATATCTGATATGCAGGATGGTCTTAGGCGACCCCTGTGAAAGGGTCATTCTACTGCCAAAGGGGTCGAGAACCACAGGTTGAGAACCGCTGCCTTAGAACATATCTCAATTTGGATTAGCCATGTTTCAAGGTTAGTGGCTACTGAACAGACAGTGTATACAGCTCTATAGGTTTCTGGAGTAGTTTTGTTTTTTTTGTGTGTTTTTTTTTTAATTGACAATTGGGGGATATTGTGGAAGGCAGAATTCCAAGATGGCCCCCAACATCTGCATCCCCTGGAATACAGATGTCTCTTCCCAGTTATTCAATCAAACATGAAGTGCTGCTTTGAAGTGATTTTGAGATGTAAAGTCCCAAGTCAGCTAAATAGAGATAGTACACTGGGTGAATCTGATCTAATTAGGTTAGTTTTATTTGTTTGTTAAGTTATCAAATTTATGGAAATAATAGCCCATACAGGCCTGAGTTTAATAAACTTTTGGAACAGAGTTGGTTGGTCGGTCTTGTTATAAAGAAAGGTGTGGAGTTCTAGGTGCTTCAGAGGTGTTAGTGCAGTTAAGTTTTTTAAACATTTTGAAAGAGTGAAATTGCCAGTTAACACAGTTCTTGAGGGACTTTTAGGGATAAAATGGAGGAGACAGGTTGAAACTTGCTGATTGAGGTCACAGTATACAGAAAACCTATAACTAATTTTTATTTGGTGTATGTTATAAGTATTAAGCCCTTCTAGTGTGATTATCACATAAAGAAGCGAAGAATAGAATGTCTGTGTTCTTTGCAAAATCTGAGTCTAAATGCTTTGATACATCAGAATTAAAATGATTCTTGAACTGTTAATTTTTTTTCCAAAGTCTTTGGTTATTTACTCAAGAGCCACAATATTTAATTTGATTGCCTCTATGGACACTGTAAAATTCTTAGTATGAATAGCTATTTTATACTATTCTACTTTAATATTTACCTTAAATATAAAAACTCTTGCTTTAATTAGTACGTTCTAACAAATTCAATATGTAATAATAGGCCACCTTTGGTAGAGGTAACCATAAAACAGTAATAAAGTTGTAAAGCATTACATATTTAAAATTTTCTTTGTAATTTATGTGCTAGTTTTTAGTTGTTCTCCCTAGACCAGATTAATGTTTTTATAGAGATTATTTGTCTATTGAAAAATCAATACATTTATATTTTTTACTTTATTACTTGAATAAACAATTTGACATTTATTATCCATCTATTATGTACCAGTCACTACCATATGCTGAGAATAAAGATATGTTCTCAGGAAGCTCTCAAAACTTCACCTTCTCTAAATTAGGAAATGTATGCAATAAATTTGTTTAAAAAGTGATTTTATTTTTCTAAAAAATGTATAAAAGCTTTACAGATAATTTTTACTTATTATAGCTCTTTGAGGTTAATTTCCATGTGAGGAAGGAGAATTTATTGAGGACAAGAGATTGTCTGGAAATACTTCAGGTCTTCAGTACTAGAATTTAGCACTAGAATTGGAGTATGCTTAGTTCCATTCACCGTTTATTTTCTGTGTATACTTATGATATGTAGTAAGTCTTGTTTTACAAGGCTTTCTGGTTTTGTTATTGGTGGAAGTGGAGCTCTTGGGGTACCGCGGGGAAAATAATTTCCTGAGTCCCCCACAGGAGGATGGGGTTTTGTGGAAAGTTTTATTGATGATGTAAAATTAAGGGGGTTCTGCTCCAAGGTCCTGTCTCCTTCTGGCCTGCCATGGAAAACGTCAAATCACGTCTCCAGCAGGGCCAGAATTAAGGCCACTGCCAAGAATTTCTGCTCCATATTAAAGTCTAGTTCAGTCCAGCATCTGGGTAGCTTAGCTTGTGTTCCTGCTACAGTCCATTGCTGTGGGGTCTGCATGGCCATGGACAATGCAGCGGGTTGAGGGAATAGATAAGCACTCAGGGTGATTGCTGGTCACAGAGCAAGAGAGAAAAGGGGACAAGCAAGGGAGAGGGGACTCTGGGGATTTTTTTAAAAAATTGATATTTCGGGAGAGAGTTTAGAGGAACATCGGTGTCCGGTCCTGGCGATCCAGCCTGCAACCTGGGCTCCCTACCAGGGATCCAGCCCTCAACCTGGGCATGTGCCCTGACTGGGAATAGAACCAGCAATGTTTTGGTGCACAGGGTGATGCCCAACTTACTGAGTCACAAGGCCAGGACTATCTGGGTATTTTAACCTTCCTAGATTTTGCAGGCTTGCATTGGCTCCACCCTCCTTGCCATCCATTGTTTCCCAGGCTAGACTGACAGGCAAGCCACCTCCCCTACATCACCCCAACTTCACTGCACATGCGTCCATCTCCCCCTTTGTTAGATCCCTTCCCCCAGTGATCTGTAGGGAATGGACCCGTGGTTCCCTGGGGAGTATGAAGCTGTAATGATGACCAGATAACCATGGTTCCCTGGGGAGTATGAAGTTATAATGATGACCAGATGACCGTGTTTATAATATCTGGCCTCCCCTTTTCTCTCTTCCTACTATTAATATTAATAAACCCTAGGTAGTTGCGACAATAACATTTTTACTATTTTTATGACTACCTTGCAAATCCCACACACGAACCTTCCAAGTCTGCTGCTAATGTCTTCCAATTTGATGTTGAGCAAGTAGATAGGTGTATTTAAAAATTTAAACCAGCAGTAATACTATTATAAAGTATAGAGAGTAAGAACAATGAAAATGTGTGCTTATTTGGTATGATCTGCTTTGAAAAAATGAAAATTGTTACATATTATCATAGTTTCCATGGCTGATATTTGACTACTAGAGGCCCGGTGCACAAAAATTTGTGCACTCGGGAGGGTCCCTCAGCCCGGCCTGTGCCCTCTTGCCAGTCTGTGACCCCTCGGGGAATGACCACCTGCTGGCTTAGGCCCGCTCCCCGGGGGGATTGGGCCTAAGCTGGCAGTCAGACATCCCTCTGGCAGCCCGGGAGCCCTCGGGGGATGTCCACTTGCCAGTGGGGAGCAGGCCTAGCTGCAGTCGGACATCCTTAGCGCTTCTGAGGAGGTGGGAGAGGCTCCCACCACCACCACTGCTGTACTGGCAGCCGTCAGCCTGGCTTGTGGCTGAGCAGAGCTCCCCCTGTGGAAGCACACTGACCACCAGGGGGCAGCTCCTGCATTGAGCATCTGCCCCCTGGTGGTCAGTGTGTGTCATAGTGACCAGTGATTCCCAGTCGTTCTGCTGTTAGGGTCAATTTGCATATTACCCTTTTATTATATAGGATGGACTCTGAAGATTTAAATTTTAAAATGATGAAAAGAGAATGAAATTAATATTTAAAGATAGCACTTGTCCCTGCCAAAATATACAGAAGGGACAGTCTCACTTTTAGATCTGGTACTTCAGCCATCTTTTTCCTTTGACCTGTGGCCAACTATTTTGGAAATCCCTCCAGAGATAGTCTGTACATGCACAAGCAATTATATACTGTATTCACCCCACCCCCACATGTATTGTAGTATACTGTAAACACTTCTCTGTACTTTGTTCTTTAACTTAACAATTGACTTTGGAGATTGTTTTATACCCCTACCTGAAGATATTCTTCATTCTTTTTTACAGCTGCATAGTGAGAATAGAATTATTTAATTATCCTTAAAGACTTCACATGACAGATGTTTAGCAATTGTTAGAGTAAATAAACTTAGTATTTTTTTCAATACAGAGATCAGAAATTTCCTTTGTCATGTCAAACTAGGTGATTTTTAGTATATGTTGGGAAAATTTTTAAACAATTTTTCCCCTATTTTTCAGGTAACCAAACAGCTCAATGGAGTCTGAGCAACTGTTCCATAGAGGCTACTATAGAAACAGCTACAACAGTATAACAAGTGCAAGTAGCGATGAGGAACTTTTAGATGGAGCAGGTGTCATTATGGACTTTCAAACTTCTGAGGATGACAATTTGTTAGATGGTGACACAGTAGTTGGTAAGTTTAGCATTGCAACTCTTAATATTTGTAGTCATGAATATCTACTAATCAGTATATACTTGTTTTACTGAGGTTGCATATTGGGGTAACTTTTATTAAATTGAGGTGATTCATGTAACATAGAACCACTGTTAAAGTGTACAGTTTAATGGTAGTTAGCATTTTTGTAATGTTGTGCAACTACTGCTTCTTTCTAGTTCCGAACATTTTCATTATCCCAAAGGAAAACCTTGTATTTGGATAAACTTTAAAATTTAAATATAACTTAATGCAGAGATGTATACAACTGTAATTGGGGTTCTCAAATAAACAGAACTAATAGGATAAATATTGATATGTAGGAAGAGATTTATTATGAGTGATTGGCTCACATGATTATGGAGGCTGAGAAGTCCCATGACCTGCCATCTGCAAATTGGAGGTCTAGGAATATTGCTGGTGTAATCCTAGTCCCATCCCCAAAGGCCTGAGAACCAGGGGAACCTGTGGAGAAGTCCCAGTTTGAGTCTGAATGCCCCAGGTCCAGGAGCGCTGATGTCCAAGGGCAGAAGGAGATAGATTATATCCTAGCTCAAGCAGAGAGCAAATTCACCTTTCCTTTGCCTTTTTGGTCTATTTAGATCTTTAACCGATTTTATGATGCCCATTTTTGTTGATGAAAGCATCTTTTTTTAGTCTCCCAATTCAAGTGCTAATCTCTTTTGTAATGACCTTCATAGACATATATACAGAAATAATGTTTTACCAGCTATCTGGGCATCCCTTAGCTCAGTAAAGTTGATGTATAAAATTAACTATCACAACAATCATCAAATCCTAAGTGTGGAAATTGATGAATTTCTATAAAATGAACACCTCATATAACTACCCATGTATCAAGAAACAAACATTATCAGGACCCCCAGAATCCTCCCTTGTTTTCCCTTCTAGTTTCAAAGTAACTACTATTTTGATTTCTATTACTGTAGTTTAGTTTTGCAGGTATTTACCTTTATCTAAATGGAATTATACCACATATCTATATATATAAAAGCCCAGCAACTGGAACAGCAGAACGACCAGAACGACCGGTGGCTATGACACGCACAGTGGCAGCCAACCACCTGATCCAGGCCCTGATTGCTCACCTCCCCCCCGCAGCCAGGTCAACCAAGGCGGGTGTCAGTGGGGGCCCCCAGATTGCCCCGCTGGTCGCCCCATAGATCAGCTCTGATCGCTGGCCAGGCCTAGGGACCCTACCCATGCACGAATTTTGTGCACTGGGCTTCTAGTAAAATAATAACGCTGCTGTGAATTTTCATGTGCATGTGTTTTAGTGCACATTATGTACACAGTTCTTTGGAATTTATGTCTTGGAATGGAATTCTTAGATGACAGGGTATGTGGATCTCAGTGCTATCAGGTGCTGTCAGAGATAGTTCCAATGTGGTTGTAGCAAGTACATTCTACCAGTCCTGTGTGAGAGTTCCAGTTGTTCCACATCTTCACTAATACTTGATATAATCAGTTTTTAAAATTTTGGCTATTTTAGTGTAGGTGCAGTAGTCTTGAGTTTTGATTTTAATTTACGTTTGCCTGATGGCTTATCAGTTGAAGTGCCTTTTGTTTGTTCATTGGCTTTTTAGATTGCCTCTTTAGAAGTGCTTTGGTATTTTGGACTAGTTTTTGAGTTCTTTATGCACTTTATGAGTCCTTTGTTACATATATGCATTGCAATTTCTTCTCTTTCCGTGGTATGCCCTTTCATTCTCTTACTGGCATCTTCAGATAAGTATGTTATCACTTTTAATGAAATCCAGTGAATCTTTTCCTCTTTTGTGTTTTTGTTTTAAGATATCTTCCCACACCTCAAGGTCATAAAGATCCTTTCCCATTTTCTTTTAGAAGTTTTATTTTTTTGTATCTTTCACACTTAAATTTATAATCTGTCTGAAATTAACTTTTATATGTGATATGAGTTGGGTTCAGATTCATTTTTTTCCTATATGGATAACTAGTTAACCCAACACTAGAGACTTTTTTGAAAAAAATCTTGTATCTGCTAGAAGATATAAATGATTAACAGAAGATCTAAAACTTTTATTCCATGTGGCAAAGTCATGATAATTTCAGCTATGATGAATTTTAAAAGATTTTTTTTAAATTGATTTGAGGGAGGGAGGGAGGAGAGAGAAGGAGGGAGGGAGAGAGAGAGAAAAAGAGAGAGAGAGAGAGAGAGAGAAGGGTCCTCCATCTTAAGGGCTTTTATCTGTGAACTTTTCTGGGAGAACTGAGAAAATAGTTGGGTAAATTATGTTTTGTGTTGTGGTTCTAATTAAGAATTTCAGTTGAAAAAGCCTCAGTAGTTATGAGCTAAGCCTATAAAATTATAAGCTGAAGTAAATACATAAAATTAAAGGGAGTCTATGGATCTGTTTAAACAGTTCTAAAATACTGACATTTAGAGGAAATTCCTTGGAAGAATATATATATACTAGAGGCCCAGTGCACAAAATTTGTGCACAGGGGAGGGGGGTTCCCCTCAGCCCAGCCTGCACCATCTCCAATCTGGGACCCTTGAGGGATGTCTGACTGCCGGTTTGGGCCCAGTCGAACATCCCTCTCACAGTCCTGGACTGCTGGCTCCTAATCGCTCACCTGCCTGCCTGCCTGGTTGCCCCTAACTGCCCCCCCCCCCCCACCGGCCTGATCACCCCTCACTGCCTCTGCGTGCGGCCTGATCACCCCTAACTTCCCCACCCCTTCGGCCTGGTCGCCCCACGCAGCCTGCTGTTCAGTCGTTTGGTCGTCCCTCACTAACCTCCCTGCGGGCCTGGTTGTAGGCAGCCATCTTGTGAGAGCATGAGGGTTAATTTGCATATTATGTCTTTATTATATAAGAGATTTTAATATATTTTATTGATTTTAGAGAGGAAGGGAGAGGGGGAGAGAGAATCATTGATTGGCTGCCTTCTGCACGCCCCCCACTGGGGATCAAGCTCTCAACCCAGGCATATGCTTTTGGCCGGAATCGAACCTGGGACCCTTCAGTCTGCAGGCTGATGCTCTGTCCATTGAGCCAAACCAGCTAGGGCTGAAAGAATATTTTTGAATATTGATTTTTAAGAAGTTATAGCTTATTAATTCTAATGATTTATTTATGTTGGATTTTAAGAATATTGTCATATCATTGGCAAATAGTGACAGTTTTTCTTTCTTATCTTTATAGCTTTCTCCTCCCCAGTCCCCCTTGCTTTGCTCAGCTGGCTCTAGTAAAGTGTTGAATGGAAATGATGATTACAGGCATCTTTTGTCTTGTTCTGACCCTAAAGTTTCACCATTAAGTATTACCTCAGAGTTTTAAGTATGATGTTTAATCTGGACTTTGGTGTGACCTTTTATCAGATTAAATAGGCTCAACACCTATTCTTAATTAAGAATATACTATTTACAATAATAAATGGATGTTGAATTTATTATTTTCCTTCCATTTTTTGAGATGATTATCTGATTTATATGCCCTTTTTTTCTAACTTTAGTTGATTTTCAGATATATTAATGTATTATTTTTTTGTAAATTGCTGGATTTGATTTGGTTATGTTTTATTTAGTATTTTTGCATATATTTTCATAACTGAGATTGGCTGATAGTTTTTCTTTGTCCTTATTAGGTTTTGTTACCAAAGTTACACTCCCCTCAAAGTCAGTTGTACTAATGTCTTTTTCTAGTCTCTAGAGGGGTTTATGTAACATTGGCATTATTATTTCTTCCTTAAAGAAGGGTTGTGCCCTTCTTCTTTTCTTTCCCTCTCTTCCTTCTTTTCTCCTCCCCTTAATAATCAGTGTCCATTTAGAATTATCAATCATTAATCTTTCCAGTGAACTACTTTTGCCTTTGTTGTTCTATTATGTATTTGTTTTCTGTTTTATTAATTTCTGTTCTTAGTTCCTTCTACTTTCTTTGGATTTATTTTCCTGTGACTTTTTAAAAACTTTTTGAAGTAGTTCTTTAATTTTTAGCCTTTTTTCTGGTAAATATATTTAAAGCTAATTCCCTCCAGATACTTATTATTGTTGTCACCAATTAAAAGTCCATCTAACTTCCATAATGATATCTGTTTATACTTATAGGTTATTTAGAAATGTAGTTCATAATTTCCAAACCTATGAAGAATTTCTGGTTATATTTTTAATGGGTTTACAACATTATTACATTGCTGTCAAAGAATATACATTGTGTAGTATCAACATTTTCAAAATTTTTGAGACTTGCATTGTGGCCTAGGAAAAAGTCTATTTTTATAAATGTTCTACGTATGCTATAGAAGAATATATGATATGAAATTTTTGGTTAATGGTATTCTCTATATACCCATTAGGTAAAATCTGTTAATATTCTGATGAACTCTTTTTTTTTTTTCACTTAACTATGTTTCTCCTTGTTTGTTTCTATCAAGTATATGATAATGATGCATTAATATTTATCTGTAGACTTATGTATTACTGCTTCTTGTCATTCTGTAAATTTTTGCTGTATATACTTTGATCTCGTGTTATTAATGTGGAACTGAACCACATTACTTTTATTGTGAAGTGACTCTATTTTCCAAGTATACTTTCTTTCAAGCCTCCTTGGATATCAGTATAGCTCCCAAATTTTCTTTGGGTTTAAGGATTGCATGCACCATTTTTTCAATCCTTTTACTTTCATACTTTCTGTATCCATGTGTTTTAGTTGAGACTCTTGTAATCATGTTGAGAGCTAAAATGACATATGTTTGTGAGGGATGAATATTGTAAAACCATTCTGTTTTTTATATTTATTTTCTGGCTTGTCATTTTTGAGAATTCCTAAGTCCTCTTTTTTTTTTTTTATGCTGCAGTAACTGTGTAGTATGATTTGATTGTTGTTCTCATTGAAAGTTTTGCTATTTCTCTTCTTCCCCGACCCCCCCATGCTTTTGCTTAGGGAAGAGGACAGACAACTCTAAAGTTTAATGTCATACAGAGTGTTCAAA